TTCGTCATTTGATCAAACAGAATAAATAAATAACACTGTAATATCATTATAACTTACAGTTTTTATTAATATAGCAATAATATAAATATGAAAATAATAAAACTTTATTTACAGTGAAACATATTGTATTAATAATATGTTGCAACCACCCCCAAACAATTTTGCGACCGTTCCCGGCGTCGGGGTCAGTTGCAACATCTGACCTTCCATTTTCAAATGCAAATTGTGAAGAACAAACATGGTTTAATCATCTATAAATGGTTTTGACTATCAACAGATGTAAGTTTATTGTATTAAAATGTGTTTTGTCCAATTCAAACCATCTGTGAGTAACAGAGTCAAATGTAAAAAGTGTTGCCACTGTCCCCGGTCTCCTCTACTGTTTTAGGATTGTACATTTAATGTGCAAGAGGAGTCGTAATAAATCTAGCAAAAATGATTTGATTTGAACAATTTTGGGTTCAGTGTCAGTGAATACAGTAACTCGATGCAACCTCAAGTACAAGATACACAACGCAAGGAGGAAAAAAAATTACAGATGCGTAACATTACTTACATTTTTTGCCGACATTTAATACTTTCCAACTAATTGAGACTTATAGCCAATTTAAATGAAAAAATATATGATAATTAAAGCAAAACATAATAAGGACCCCCAAGTTAAACTCTCAGAGGGGGTGCAATTAAGTTAAGATAATAAATCTTAATTGATCTTCCAGTTAATAAACTAAAACTGGTCCATCAGACCTCACATGTATTTCTTCTTCATTGTATTCTATTATATGTCAATAATATATTGATAATATAGGACACTGTCAAAAATGATACACACACCCAAACAAACCCTATAGAGTTGAGTTTCCCTCAAGGTAAATTAATTTGTAAACCTGTTGTTTGACAAACTAATATTTACCACCTTAAAATACTTCCTTTCATCACTTCTAAGGCGTAAATTTCAGTATAAGAACTCTAAAAACTGGGCTCCACAGGATGTAAAACATACTTTTTATATACAGTGTTTTTATTACTAACAGGTGCAGGCAGGCATAAGGACCCTATAGTCGCCGCTCTGAACAGATAGCCAGCCATGCCATAATTACTGTTTGTCAGTCCGTGCACACACAGTCTGTAACAAATGGCAGGAAACGCTGAAAGCTAAACACGTATTGAGTTAATGGTAAACAGCCATCAGATTTAATAAAAGGTTTAGAGAAGGCAGCTTTATTTAATGTTAATTCAACTGGCTGCCAGCTTTTCTGATCCGAGATGGAACGCCTGAACGGGTCCAACAGTCCCGAGGCCGTGCTGCTGTGCATTTCTTCTTTGCACACAAATAGTTTGAATAAAAATCGAGTCTTTTATTCGTTTTTAAATGCCTTTTTAAATCCTTAAAGGTGGATGAGATTCTCAAATGCTTTAGTTCTCTGCTTTGGTTTAAGGATGTTTTCTAAAGGGCTTAGTCACCGAATCGTGTAACGATTTTACATTTTCATTTGCAAAAACCAAACAGGCCCCCTTGTGGAGTAACATGTGCATCTGTGTCCAGCTGCTTAATGCACAACTGTATGAATGTCACATCCCCCAGCTGGTCAGTAAGTTCCTGTACGTTCAAATGTGAAGTTTGTAAAGTGCGTTCCCCTCTGAGCATATGTGTGTCCATTGTTAATGCAGCTACAAGCCAGTTTTTGTGTCTGGAGGTCCCTCTGGCTCCCATGGTTTCTCTCTCTCTCTATCCCCTCCTCCCTAACTCTCTCCCCTCCCTCTTTCCCTCCAGCTCCTCTCTTTCTCTTCCTCTGCTCTCGGCTAACACAAGCGCCACCTCTTTGTCACCCTCGGTACTACACGTTTTCTGTTATCTCAAACTCAGGAGTGGGGTCACACATCTTTATAGAGTTTGGGGTTAAGGTCGTGACTGAGGCTTGCTTTGATGTGACGAATGGAATTAGTTGATCTGATTTTTTAATTGAACTTTTGTTGTTATATGTCTCTGCAAACCAAAAGAGAAATGTTTAAACTTTTTGATCCATCAAAAGAAAGAATCTTCAGAAATAAGAGAAAGTGAACATCTGAACTGAACCACAGTTCAGTCTGAGATGCTTCTCTGGTTGGATCACACATAGGGTGTGGTTTAATATCCTGTTCCCTCTCCTCTTCTTTTGCATTCCTTCTTTTCGTGGTCTAATTCTTGGAGTTCATTGAATGTGGTCAGAACGATCTAAAAACAAATAAGCTGAGTTTTTTTGTATTTTCAGCTGCAGAATTGGTAGTTTTTGAACGACACAATCAGAGCCTCTGATGCCAGGAAACACAACTAGATTCCCAGTAATAATCTGTGTCATCTGCCTCCAAGGAAACGTCTGATGGGTGACAGATTGGTGCTGCGGTTTGGGGTCAAGGATCAGAAGATCACACTGCCTCATGAATCATGTTAGGACTAAAAAACAAAAATGTAACTGGCTTGAAAAAGTAAGAAAGAAAATGGGAACGAGCAATATGTCAACTAATTTTGCACGAGTTTTGGGATCCAGCAGCCATCTGCCAAACTGATTAAACCAGCACATGGTCTGTCAGGGGAGCAGTTCACATGATGATTACGTCTCCCACGCAAGACCCAGTCGGGAAGACGGTGCATGCTTTGTGCAGGTGGTACTTTCCCAAAAGCATGCATAAATCCATCTCATCTGAAAACGACTAAAGGGAATAAACCAGAGGGAGGGAAAGAAATGACAAAAAAAAAAAGAACAGGAGATGCTGGGTTTTCCAGGTAGATGAGGTGTTGTATTTGGGTCGGGGTCCTGCTGGACCGTATGGAGGTACTGGTGAGCTCCCTGTCCCTGCCAAAGCTCTTCCTTTCTGGACACTCAACGTTAGAAGCAGAGTCTGGATCCATCCTTCAGGGCCCTCCCTCCTCCTCTAGCTCTCTGCCGCCCCCCTCTTGGCACTCCCTTTTGACCCCCCCCCCTTCCTTGTCCTCTTCTTTTCTCCCAGGCCCTGTGGGTGCAGTGCCACGTCGAAGACTGAACTTATTAGAGTGAGGCAGAGGAGAAAAGAGCTGAGCACCTCCACGTGGGCTGATGCTGTTTCTCCATTTTTACTGCAGTTCCTTCTGTCCACTTCTGCTGAACTGAAGTCTTATTTATTAACACCCCCACCAAAAAAAATAAAAAAAAACTCTTGGTCACATTAAAACGTCTCACATTACTGCAGCACAGACCACAAAACTGTTGCAGTAAAACTATAATTCAAACCTGTTGCTGTTTTAACATGGCAGTGATGTTTTCGATTTGATGTAAACCCATGATTTTACCATTTCTGCTCAAAATATATTTATTATTATTTATATGATTTTTTTTATTGATTTAAATTGATAAACCGAAATGGGAATTTAGTTCTGTTTTTTGCTTAGACATATTTAATTCATGTACATTTGCGCCATCTAGTGGTACAAAAAGTCTTACAGTATGTCTTGGACTGTTCAGACATAATGTTTAAAATTTTCTAATCTAACATTAATAAAATTCTACAAAATATGCTATTTTTATTGCTACGTTATAGAATGCCCCAAACAGTGTTGTCTCTGCAAATGTTGCAAAAGAATTCATATTTTCCTCCTTTCAAACTTGACTTATTTATGCATTTCGTAAAGAATTTCAACCACATGGTCATGCATATAATTAAGCAACTATCTGCGGGATGTTTGCTTGACACTGCCATTAATAATTAACATCATTTGACATTTTACAGACCTTTAAAATGTTTGTAACATTCTTGTCTTTGTATGAATTCCCCAGAGAGCTCAGCACTGTGTAAACATGACATTAAAACCAGCCATTTTCTAATTTTGTTTATGGAAATGCTCCCCTAACACTGAGGACACTGTTCATTTATTAACCAGCAGAATCCCAAATCTGAAGCCCTGTTGTTGCATCTCWTCACTAACTGTTATTTTCAGGTTCTGTTATTTATTTATTGAGACCTTCTGCTGCCATCAAATTCAGAAATGCCTTTTTTCCCCCTTTAAAAAGTTTTAAACCTTTTGGCTTGTTTAATAATTTTTATCATGATTATGAGTAAATGAGATTTGCAAATCACTGCATTCTATTTTTATTCTGTGTACAGTCTAATTTAAACGATAGAAGGGGACACAATGCTTTCTTGACAAAACATTTGAGGCAAACAAAAAATAAACACTAACTTTAGCAAGCTGAAGTGCAGTGACATGTACTTTGAGTGTAGACTCCTGTGTGGTCCTGGTAAAAAGTTGCTGTTGTTTATGTACTTGAAACTTCAGGAAACTTCTCATATTTAGCTCTGTGCAACAGGTTGTGTGTATATATATATATATATATATATGTGTG